CAGGAAAACAGATCAACTGCAGTGTGATTATTTACCGAATATTAAAGCAAGGAAATAGGGGCTGGATGCTCTGCAAGGCTGACTCACATGAAAAGGCTGCAGGTTCGTGTCCTGACACCTCCCTGGATATTTCAGTCCGTGTGTGCTCATGATCTGGAGCTGGCTGTAGCAAGGGGTGCATTGCAGCATCGAGACCTTGTTGAAGGTGCTGTCCTTCTGGGTGTCTCACTCGCAGAAGAAGAAACTTTATAAAGTGTGCTCATCTCAGCAGTACCTATACTAAAATTGGAACGACACAGAGAAGATCGGCATGTCATCCCCTGTGCAAGGATGACATGTAAATTTGTGAAGTCTTCCATATTTTAAAAAAATAATAAAAAATAAAATAAAGTGGGGGCTGGCAGGTGGTGTAGTGACTAAAGGCACTGGACTCCCACACTGCCAATAGCAGTTCAAGTCCTGAACTTGGCTTGCTTTCTCACTTTTTCTTTCTTATTTTTATTTTTTAAGAATTTTTAAAAATTACTTCATTTAACTTTATTTATTTTAATTTGACCAGAGAGGGACAGGAGGAGAGAGAGAGAGAAGGGGAAAGTGAGAAAGCAAGCCACCAGACCCAGGACTTGAACCACAGCCGGCCATGTGGGAGTGCAGCGCCCTTAACCACCACGCCACCTGCCAGCCCCCAATTTTCTCTTTCTTTCCTTCACTCTGTTCCTCTCTGATCAAATTCAAATAAATAAATAAATAAATAATGTTAAGTAAAATAATCCTTTAAAAATTTAATAAAGCAAGGAATTGCATGAAGTATAACTACTTGTGTCAAAATGGATGATTTTCTTTCTTTCTTTTTTTGTTTTTTGGAGAGGTTTTTGCTATAGGGCATGTGCACTTGCCAGAAGGACAGAGAGAAGAAGCGAGAGATAAGATGAGAAAAGAAATCACCCCCGAGGGGAGATGGCCACACTGTAATCCCTTCTCCTTCATTCTCCTCTCGGGATCTTGGGCACACACAAATACGTGCCCGGCTTAAGTTTAAGGCACCGGGTCCGGGACTCGAACCACAGTTGACTGGTTTGACATGGGAGTCCAGAGACATAGCCATTACGCCAACTGCTGGCCCCCAAAATGGATGATTTTTCACAAATACAATATTCAGAAGAAAAAAATACAGAATACTCACCATGACAGCTTTTCTTCTTGATTGCCAGAGGGTACAGGCACCTGCCAGAGACAAAGAGAGGGGGGGAAAGGGAGAAAACTTCCTCCATGGGGAATGGTCATGCAATTCCTTCTCCATTTCTCCCTCCTTTCAGGATTGTGGGGACACACACGCACCCAGCATGTTTCCCAAGCTGCTGGGTCTGGGACTTGAGAAATGCAGTCATCCACGTGGGATCTCGATGTCTTAATTATCCACCAAGGCTCCTTAACCACCCACCAAACCACAGAGCCAGCCCTAAAATTTCACATCTTGGTGCATGGTGGATACATGGTTGAATTTTACACTAAAGCATAAACATTTTCGCATATTTCAGTTTGTTTTTGGTTTTGTTTTGCCATAGGGGGTTGTGCTCCCCAAGTAGAGATAGAGAGAAAGAAAAGAGAAAAAACTGAGAATCACTCCTCAGGAGAAATGGCTACACCACAGCCCCTTCTCCTCTATTCTATCAGGATTTGCAGCACACACGTACCCAGAATGTTTTGTAAGCCACCAGGTCTGGGACTTGAACCTTGCAGTCGGCCATGTGGGACCTCACTATCTGCTGGATAAAAAGCAGGAGAAATTGAAGCAAGAAGTCATTATAAAAAGAATAAATTGTGGGGCTGGCAGGTGGCATGGTGGTTAAGGGTGCAAGACTCCCACATGGCAGACTACAGTTTGAGTCCCGGATTTGGCAGCTTCCTTTCACACTTTCTCTCTCTCCCTCTCTCTCACTCTGTCCCTCTGCGGTCAATTAAAATAAATAAATAAAGTTAAATAAAATAATTCTTTTTTTTTTATTTAAAAGAAGAAACTGGAGGCCAGCAGGTGGCATGATGGTTAAGACACTGGACACTCCCAAATGGCCGACCATGGTTTGAGGCCCAAACTTGGATTGCTCTCTCATTGTGTGTGTGTGTGTCTGGTCAAATTAAAATAAATGAAAATGAATGAATGAATGAAGCTGTGTTGTTAGGGGCAGGCTGTGTTTAGGGAACAAAGTTGCCCTTATTTTACTTGACAGAGTAAAAGGAACTTTTTTGTCACAAAAACAGCAATTTGCATGTGCAAAACATACTACACCTTGGAAGATCCACATCCGCCAGTTAATTTAAGCACTGATTTGAGGGACAAGCGCCCCATTTTATAGCTGAGGGAGCAGGTTCAAAAAGGGTAGGTGGCAGCTTGAGAATCACCTGAGGTACGTGTGCATGTCTCCAAAATCCTGAGAGGAAACTGCAGGAGAAGGGACTACGGCATGGTCATCACCCCTCGGGGTTGGCTTCTCACTTTCCCTCGCTGTCTCTCTCAGGAAAGCACATGAGCCCTATGGCTAAAACTTAAAAATAAATAAATAAATAAAAGGCTAGGTGGGGGCCCGATGGTGGCACAGTGACGACACTGTGCTCTGCGAGTCTGGCCCACCTGGGAAAGTTCTGGGGTTTGCATTTAGAAAGCTCCCTGGACATATGGGGTACACTTGCCCATGATTCACGGCTGGCTGAAGCCAGAAATGGATCTTAGCATCAGGATCCTGTTGGAAGATCCACCCCTGCCCACAAAAGAAAGAAATTTAAAAAGAAAAAAGTTTGGGCCAGGAGGTGATATGGAGGTTAAGGCGGCTGGATCTCACATGGCTAACTGCGGTTGGAGTCCTGGACCTGGCAGCTTGAAAATCATGCCAGGTACTTGGGCATGCATGCCCCAAATCTCCCAAAATCCCGAGAATAAAGGAGAAGGAATTGCATTGTGGCCATCCCTCTTGGAGGATGAACTCTCACTTCCTCTCCTTTGTCTCTCTCCAGCAAGCTCATGTTCCATGTGGTGGATAAAAATCTAAAAGAAGAGAACCAGCAAATGGCACAATGGTTACATTGCTGGACTCCCATATAGTCAACTGCAGCTCAAGTCCTGGACCTGGGGGCTAAAACTCACGCTGGGCATGTGTGTGTGCATGCCCAAATAATCCTGAGGGGAGGGTGGAGGAGGAGGGATTGTAGCGTGATCACCCTAAGGGGTGATTTCTTGCTTTCTGTCTGTCTTTACACCAAGCATATGTGCCTTATAGCAAAAATCTCTCTTAAAATAAAAAAAGATTAGTGGGCCAGCCTGTGACATGGTGGTTAAGACAGCTGGTTACCACACAGCCAGCCTAGAGGTTCGAGACCTATTCTCGGCCACTTGAGAAACATGCTGGGCACACGTGCATGGGTGTCTAAATATCCCAGAGGGAGAGGTGAAGCAGAAGGGACTGCAGTATTACCATCGCCCATCGGGGCTGCTTTCACACTTTCCTTTTTTTAAATCTTTCTCCAAAGAGCATACGTGCCTTCTGGCAAAATTAAGAAAAAAAAAAATTAGAGATGTAGTTGTGAATATTTCTGGCAGAGAAAAAGTTTCAAAGTATTCACAACAGGGGCTAGCAGGAAGCAGGGAGGTTAAGGTGCTGGTCTCCCACATGGCAGACCAGGGTTCGGATCCTAGAACCAGTGGCTTGAAAATCATGCAGGGCACGTATGTGTTCATGCACGAAATCCCAGGAGGACAATGGAGAAGGGATTGCAGAGAGGCCATTCCACCTGAGTGGTGATTTCTCACTTTCCCTCTCACTGTCTCTTTCTGGTGAGCTCATGCACTCTATAACAAAAACCTTAAAAAAATAATAATGAAAGTATACGACAACAGTAGTGGTTATCTATAGATTACAGGATACAGATGATTTCATTTGTTTATTTGCATAATTGTACTTTCTGATCTTGTCATAAATGATCATGCATAATTTACGAAATGAAATAAATAAATAAGGCAAGAATAGAGAAGGAAAGAAAGTAAAGAGCTGGGGACTGGCAGGTGGAGTGGTCGTCAGGACAATGGACTCCCACATGGCTAACCACAGTCTGAATACCGGACCTGGTGGCTCACTTTCTCACTTTCTATCTTTCTCTCTCTGGTCAAATTAAAAACAATAATAATAAATAAACTTAAATAAATAATTCTTAGAAAAAAATAAAGAACTGAGCCAGCAGGTGGCATGGTGGTTGAGGCACTGGACTCCCCCATGGCTGGCTGTGGTATGAGTCCGATGCCTGGTGCCTTTCTTTCTCACTTTCCCTTTTTCTCTCTGGTAAGTGCACATGCTCTGTACCAAATTTTTAAAATAACTAAATAGTAGTAAATTAAATTTTAAAAAAATTTTAGAGGTTTTTGCCTTAGGGTGTGTCCACTTGCCAGAGAGAGAGAGAGAGACAGTGAGAGGGAAAGTGAAAAATTACCCCTAGGGGGAGAGCCACGCTACAATTCCTTCTCCTCCATTCTCCTCTCAGTATCTCAGGCATGCACACACATGAATTTCAAGCCACCAGATCTGGGCTTGAACTGCAGTCAGCTGCGTGGGAGTCCAGCAACATATAAATAAATAATTATTTGAGAGATTATTGCTATGGTAAGTGTGTACTCACTGGAAAGATAGAGAGAGACAGAGATAGAAAGTGAGATATCACCCTCCTGGTGGGATGGCCATGCCACAATCCCTTCTCCTCCATTCTCCTCTTGGAATCTTAGGCACACACACACACACGCCTAGTGTGAGTTTTAAGGTGCCAGGTCTGGGACTTGAACTGCGGCCAACTATATGGGAGTCCAGCAAAGTTACCATTATGCCATCTACTGGTCCTTGTTTAAAATTAAAAAAACAAAACAAAACAAGTAAAGGATTTCTTCAAAGGCCAAGTTTTTTAAAATTTTTATTTCAATCGGCTTTGAATACACAAGTGACTAACAGAAGGTATCCTAGAAGAAAGCTAACATATGAAAAGATGTCCAGCCTCACTAGGGACCAAAGAAATGCAAATTAAAACAATATGTAAGACTCTTATCTATTAAATTAGCAAAATTGTTTTCCAAGAACAAGGGTGTGGCCAAACTGGTAGTCATTTATTGCTGGCAACACTGTAAATTGGTACAATTCACTTAGAAAGCAATTTGGCAGCAAGTAAAGAGAACTGTAAAAACGTTCACACCCTGCGGAAATAATCTAAACTGTGGAAACATTTTTTCTGAGGAAAAATAAAAGAGGTTCACATAAGCTTTACTAATGTAGTATGCTATCCTCCATTGTACAAATTTGGTTATTTGTACAAGGGTGGACCGATAACCCCTGAACATTTATTTGCCCTAACTGATATACACAAGGGGAGTTTTTTAATTTTAGTTTTTGCTGAAGGTAAAATGAGACAGTATGTGTGTGCAGTTTAGAGAAAATGGAGAGGATGATGGATCTGGCAACTATTCAGAGCCCAGACACTGGGATTGTCTTTTTTTTTTTTTTCTAGTTATTTTATCTAGCTTTATTTATTTACTTACTTACTTATTTACTTACTGACTGACTTATTTAATTTGATCAGAGAGGGACAGAGAGAGAGAGAGAGTGAGAAAGCAAGCCACCAGGTCCAAGACTCGAACCATGGTTGGCCATGTGGGAGTCCAGTGCTCCTAACCAGGCCACCTGCCAGCCTCCTGAGATTGTCTATTACCCACTCAGTATAACTCAACCTTATGAGAATGGAGTGGAAAAGATCAGTCTCTGGAAGAGTGTTCTGTTTTCCCACTTGCATCCCCCCCTTTGGAATATACTGTAAATATAAAATATAAGTAATGCATATTAAACATTTAAAGACTTAAAAAATAAAAATCTGTATACTTAGAAACCAGCTTAATTTGGGATCAGCAGATGATGTAGTGGTTACGTCACTGGAGTCCCACATGGGCTGAATGCAGTTCGAGTCCCAGACCCAGCGGCTTGAAACTCACACTGGGTATGTGTGCATGTGTGCCCAAAATCCCGAGAAGAGAGTGAAAAAGGGATTGAGGCAGGGCCACCCCGTCTGGGAGGTGATTTTTCACTTTCTGTCTCTGTGTCTCTCTGACAAGTACATGTGCTCTATAGCAGAAATATATCTTTAAAAAATAAAAAAAAATAGGAATTTATCGGGATCAGCACTAGATGTAGTAGTTAAGGTGATGGATCCCACAGGCTGACTCCACAGTTCTGAGCCTTGGATAAACCAAGCAAGTGTACATGTGTGCTCCAAATCCCAAGAGGATAATGGAGTAGAAGGAATTGCACATGGTCATCACCTCGAAGGGGTAATTTCTCACTTTCTCTCTCTTTTTGTCTCTATCTCTCTCTCTCCAGAGAGTACACATGCCCTATGGCAAACATCTAAAACAAAACAAAAGCAGAAGAAATAGAAATTTTTTTAAAAGAAATTATTTATCATTATTTTTAAAACTTGCTTAAGGGTAGGGAAACAGCAGGTGGTGTGATGGTTAAAACACTGGACACTCCCACATGGCTGACAACAGTTTGAGTCCTGGACCTGGTGACTTGCTTTCTCACTTTTCCTCTCTCTCTCTCTCTCTCTATCTATCTATCTCTATCTCTCTCTGGTCAAATTAAAATAAATGAATAAATAAATAAAAATAATTCTTCAAAAAAATGGTACAGGGCACACACACTCATCAGAGAGAGAGAGAGAGAGCAAGCTGGCAGGTCTAGGACTCAAACTTAACAGATAAAATGAGGCCTAGAATGATGAACTGACTTGTTCAAGCTGCACTTACATTAGAGGCTGGGCCTTCTAACTCCTGGATCTGTCTGCTTCCAGGTCCTGCTTCCTGAATCTAGGGTCACTCACAGACAATGAGAACAAATGACATTCCTAATTGGGCTTGCAGCGATGGCTCCTTGTGCTAATAATGCAGCTTTAATAATGTACCTTTGTTTTCTTCAAATGTCCTCTAACTGGCTCCCTCTTGTGGGACACCCTTCCAGGACATCTGAGATTCATCTATTCCAATTCTTAGAATGTCACTTCTTTTTGTTTTTCTTTTGTTTTTTGGAGGAGAGGTTTTTTTGCTATAGGGCATGTGTGCTCACCAAAAAGACAGAGAGAGACAGAGAGACAGAAAGTGAGAAATCACCCCCTCCAGGGGGGATGGCCATGCTGCAATCTCTTCTTCTCCATTCTCCCCTGGATCTTGGGCACGCATGCCTGCTGTGTTTCTCAGGCTGCTGAATCCAGGACTTGAACTCATGGTCACAGTGTGGGAATTAGCACCCTTAACCACCAGGCCATAGGTTGGCTCCAAAACATGCATTTCTGACAAATTCCCATTCCCAGATAATACTGATGCTGTTGGTTTAGGCTCACATTTTGAGAACCAATGCACTGGATTAAACAGACTTTTTGGTTAGTTTTCTAATTACCCTTTCAAAGAAGGAGATAAGCTTATTAGTTGAGTTCTAACCTCATAACTTGTAGTACCCAGATGGTATTCCACATAATGAAGAGAATGAAGCAGTATGTTCCAAGGCTGATGTAATAATTCAGTCTGTAATTGATGTAGAAAGGCTGAAAGGAAAAGAAAAGCCCTTCAATCTACTCTTTTTCTCCCTAAAAATTGGTAATCAGGAACCAACAGATGGCGTAATAGATACGTCACTGAACTCCCATGTAGTCGACCTTGGTTTAAGTCCCAGACCTGCTGGCTGAAACCTCACGACAGGCTCGTGTATGTGCGTGCCCAAAATCCCAAGAGGAGAATGGAGAAGGGATTGCAGCATGGCCATCCCCCCATGGGGGGGATGATTTCTCACTTTCTGTCTCTGTCTCTCTGGCGAGCACCCACACCCTAGAAGAAAAATTGCTCTCAAATTAAAACAAAAAAGTGATAACCATTCGACTCCTTCCTTACCCCTTTGCTCCTGCTCTTAACCTACCACATTTTGATCATTTCAACAAGATCAAGGACCCCAGCACAGGATCCTGTAAAGCTTACTAGAACTTAAGTGACAACTCTCCAGCATTTCCGAATCCAGACTGGTTTAATGGATATTAAAAGGGTCCCTTAGTGTTGTTACATACCAGAGGCACTATAACAAGTCCCAAAGTTTTCTGTTCCATCTTGTTGAAGTGGAGGCCTACAGACCGGCAACCTAGTGACTTGCAGCCTGACCGGCTCTCATGTTAACTATGTGACCCAGAATGAATCATGTCATGCAGCACTTACAGGCCTTAGCTTGTTTATTTTTTTTTATTTTTATTTTTTTTAAGATTTTTGTCATAGGGCATGTATGCTCCCCAGAGAGAGAAAATGAAAAGTCACCCCCAGAAGGGATAGCTATGCTTTAATTCCTTCTCCTCCATTCTCCTCTTGGGATTTTGGGCACACACATAAGTGACTGGAGTGGTTTTTAAGCCGTGAGGTCGGGGATTTGAATCATGGGTGACCATGTGAGAGTCCACTGCCTTAACCACCATACCACCTGCTGGCCAGTACATGCTTTACCTTTTCAACAGGTTAAAAAAAAGAAGTTCCTCATTACAAAACAAGAAAACAGGATACCTGGAAAAGTATTAGCCAGAACTTCTTGGAAAAGGAGACATCAGCAACAGTACTGTAACATTAAACTTTAGCGAGATTATGTTTATAGTCTAACGAGTGCTTAAGTGTCTATGTGTGTGTGTATTCACATGTATACTTATATTTTAGGTCTTCACAGCAAACTTGTGAGGTGCGTAAGTATAAGTTGGGGCTGAGAGAAGGTGAACGTCTGAAAGGACAGGGCCAGGACTCAGGAACCTTTCCAACATACTTCTTCCCTCAGATTATTTCAGTTAAATATAGGGAAGTACAAGTGCATAAATAAATGACCTACTCTCCCACTTTCCTCCCAACTAGGAGTATTAATTAAAATTCAAGGACTAATGACCTTGTAAATGAGAAAACAAGAGTTGCTTTGTTCATCAGCTAAACGCCAGGAAGAACCCCGGTAATATCATTTAACGTTCTCAGCAATTTTGCTTCCACAATTTTACAATCCTCTTTTAGCTCCCTCTGTTTTGTTCATCATAGGATATTTTCTGTGCCTCAGATGACAGTAAACCTCCAGTGGAAGTACCTCATACAATGCTGTACAAAGAGCTTCTGAAATCCTTCCAGCCTTTGAGTCACAAGACTGCAAACATCCTCTATAATAATTCTGCCTTGTCATGGCAATGAGACATCTGGTGACTAATGTTAGCACAGCCCTGGATGGGAGAGAATTTCCATTTAATAAGTCTATGTATTGAGACCCCAAATTTTCTAGTTCCCATCTAATGTCTTGCAAATTTGGGGCTTTGGGGTGCTGATCTACTAAAGTCTTGCTGAGTAATATGGCTAATAAAAGCAAGCAAGCTGAACTAGCAGGAGGTTAAGGTGCTGGACTCCCATAAGGTTGATTGGTTTGAGTCCCACACCTGGCAGTTTCCTTTCTTATTTTCTGTCTCTGGTGAGCACACATGCCATATAGCAAATTTAAAAAATAATAATAATAAATAAATAAAATTTTAAAAATAATTTTAAAAAGCAAGCAAGCTTATCTTGAGTGTCTATTTTAAAAAATAATTACTTATGGGCCAGCAGGTGGCGTGGTGGATAAGGGCGCTGGACTCCCACATGGCTCACCACGGTTCAAGTCTCGGACCTGGTGGCTTGCTTTCTCACTCTCTCTCTCACTCTCTCTCTGTGTCTTTCTGGTCAAATTAAAAAATAAAATGAATGAATAAATAATTCTTAAAAAATAATAATAATTACTTATTTATTATTTATTATTATCATTATTAGTTTAAAATTTGTTATAGAACACATGTACTTAGCAGAGAGAGACAGATGGGGGGTGGGGAGTGAGAAAGCAAGCCGCCAGGTCCAGGACTCAAACCATGGTAGGTCATGTACAAGTCCAGCACCTTAACCACCATGCCACCTGCTGGCCCTTGAATGTCTTTTAAGGGCCAGGCCCTGCATTAATGGCTTTATACATAAAGACCTCAAATATTAAATCACTAATAGTGACGATGTGATTATTGATTAATTGAATGCCTGCTTTGGGTCAGGCACTGTACTAAGAGGTTCACTGTGCTTTCTAGGCCACATTTCTCACTACTCGCTTAGTAACCAGGCATCAACCATTCAACGCACGTCTCCCTATCTAAGTCACTCACACTGAAGGAATGGTGTCTGTGTTCAGAAGAACATTATCTGGACCCTGTACGTTTATCCTGTTATAAAATAGGAAAGAAACAGAGAGAACAGATTAGGCCCACCGAGCCACTGATGCCTGGGTGTTCTCTATTTGGGGTACCTGAGGCATGAGCAATGGAAATTTGAAAGGGGAACAATTGAATTCATTCCTAAATCAAATGGGTGTTTTGATGGCATAGCAGATGTGCTTTTTGACGGAAGCTCTTGTCACACTGACTACAGGGAAAGGGCTTTTCTCCTGTGTGTGTTCTCTGGTGTGTGAGGAAATGGGAACGCTGATTGAAGGTCTTGCCGCACTCCGGACATCGATAGGGTCTGTCTCCTAAGTGGATCCGTTGATGGGTAATGAAGTGGGAGCTCTGACTGAAGCTCTTCCCACACTCCCCACACTTGTAGGGTCTTTCTCCAGTGTGAATCCGTTGGTGCTTAATGAGAGCAGAGCTGTCCGCGAATCCCTTCCCACAGTAGTCACATTTGTAAGGTCGCTCGCCCGTGTGTATCCTCTGGTGTGTGATCAGATGTGAGCTCTGACTGAAACTGCGGTGGCAGTCGGGACAACTGAAAGGCCTTTCTCCTGAGTGAGTACTCATGTGAGCGATGAAATGAGAACTGTCTCTAAAGCCCTTCCCGCACTTGGGGCACTTAAAGGGCCGTTCTCCTGTGTGCGTACGCTGGTGCTTTACTAGATCTGAGCTCTGACTAAAACTCTCCCCACAGTCATCACACTTGTAAGGCTTCACGCCCGTGTGGGTCCTCTGGTGGGTGATGAAATTTGAGCTTCGACTAAAGCTTTTATGACATTCGAGGCAGGTGTAGGGCTTCTCTCCTGTGTGGGTTCTTTGGTGCATTACGAGGTGTGGCTTCCGCCCAAACGTCTTCCCACACTCTGGACACTCATAGGGTCTCTCACCTGTATGTGTCCTCTGATGTTTGATGAGTGTCGAGCTGTCGCTGAACTTCTTCTCACACCCGTTGCATTGGTAGGGCTTCTCTCCCGTGTGTGTCCTCCGATGGGTGACAAGATCTGAACTCTGCTTGAATCCCTTCCCACACTCGATGCATTTGTAAGGCCTCTCGCCAGTATGGGTTCTCAGGTGTCTTATGAGATAGGAGCTCTGGTTAAAGCTTTTGCCACATTCCGCACACATAGGCTTCTTTCCTATATAGCCCTCCAGAAACTTATTTAAATCCCTCTCCTGTGTAAAGGGCTCCTGCTGACCCTGTCCTGGAAGGGTGCTCTCCCAGTTTCCTCCCCAACTGGGAGTATGAGAAATACTTTTATTGATCCTTTCTGACGACGTTCCACATTGTTCTGCTCCATCTGAAATGTCCCGACTGAGTTTCGCCACCTGATGCTCAAAGTCTGAAAAATCAACAGAAGTCACAGAGAAGTTACCAGTTATCAGGAAAGAACATCAGACAGCAGTGGGAAAGATTAAATCACTGTTTCTATAGTAGACTCTATGTAATTCAGTCACTCTGCCTTTCGCTTTGTGTAGTTTGTTAAATTTTGCTGTGTTTACAGAAAACATAAATTCCTAAGCCCTTTTATTTTTAAAGTAATCGGATGTACTGAGGTGGTCTTAACACACTCGAAGAGTACACCACATATTGTTAAAACTGGGCAGCTCCTTTCAAAGATGCATAGTCAAACAAAAGAGAAATGTTTATGCAAAATGAAGGCTTTCATTGGTCAACTACTGACTGCCTAAGAAGTCAGATTTCAACTATGAAAATGGAAGGGCTAAAGAGGCTTTCCAAACTCTTCATCTAGACAAGGGCTGATATGCTAGCTTCCTGCCCACTGGGTAGCACTCACATCTCACCTGAATGACTTTCTCTTAGGGTCTTCCTCCCCTCAAAGTTTTGGAGGGGTAGAACCCATGGCTCTTCTTTCTGCTCCAGCTGGGAGATTACACTTGGTCTAGAAATCCTGCACAGAAAGGTCAACGTAAGATACAAGTCTGAGCCAAGGCCTGACCAAAATCTAAGCCCTCCTCCTACCCTAGGCAGAGAAGAACACCAAGGGAACTCCGATGTGTGTTTGGGATCACTAAAAAGGCAGTCACGAGGGCCAGTAGGTGGCATAGCGGCTAAGGTGCTGGACTCCCACATGGTTGGTCAGGATTTGAGTCCCAGACCCAGCAGCTGAAACTCACGCCAGTCACACATACATGTGTGCCCAAAATCCCAGGAGGAAGGTGGAGAAGGGATTGTGGTGTGGCCATCATCCATGGGGGGTGATTTCTCACTTTCCGCTCTTTTTTTTTTTTTTTTTTGAAGAGGTTTTTGCTATAGGGTACATGCTCTTGCAGAAAGATAGAGACAGAGAGACAGAAAGCGAGAAATCACCCCCCTAGGGAATGGCCATACCGTAATCCCTTCTCCTCCGTTCTCTTGAGATCTTGGGCATGCACGCACACATGCCTGGCGTGAGTTTAAGCCTCTGGGTTTGGGACTCAAACTGCGGTTGACTACATGGGAATCCAGTGACATAGCCATTATGCTAACTGCTGGGGGAAAAAAGTGCGGTCTGGCATGGGCCAACCCTGTAGCCTAAAGGTTAAGGGAGCAGGATCCATACAGCTGACCACAATTTAAAGGTCAGTCCCAACAGCTTGAAGAACATGCCAGGCACATGTGTGTATGTGTCCCAAATCCCAGCATGAGGGAGAAATGGATGAGAAGGGATTGAGGTAAGATCACATCCCAATAGGAGGTGCTTTCTTCTTCCTCTCTTCTCTCCCTGTCTCTTTCTGGGTGAGCACATGCACCTTTAAGAAAAAAAATAAATAAACCATGTTGGCAGTCATGGGGCTAACAGGTGGCATGGTGGTTGAGGCGCTGGATTTCCACATGGACAACAATTCGAATCTCGGACCCAGCAGCTTGAAAATGAGAACAAACAGATAAATAAACACACGTTAGGGGAAAAAGGGGCCATGGTAAAGGGATAAAATAGGTGATCTCCGCAGGAGGCTGAGAAAAAAAGTCCTGTTTTAACAACAAAAACCAGATGTGGGTGGTAGAAACTCTAGAGTACACACAATAACTCATTTTTGAAGACATAAGGCTAAGCCCTTGGAGAGAGATAATTTTATCAGAAACAAAGCTGCCATGACCTCACCCTGAGAAAAAAAATCAAGGAAGTTATAAAGTTGGACTTTTCAATTTTCCCAGAACGGCAGCAGTCAATACAGCCATGAGAAAAAGACAAATACGTGTTAAGAAAAATAAAAGGACAAAGGGCATGAATAGGCAATTGATAAAAGAAAAAAACTACAAGCAGCCTATAACTATATAAACAATCTTTACTTCTCCATTTTAGAAAATTCAAATTAAAACAGTAGTACACTTAGACAATATAGGATAGAGGTAAAGAGTGAAACCTCAAGAGCCTGGGTTTGAATCCTAACTCTACCTCTTGCAAGCCTTAAAGTTACTCAAACACTGTGTCTTAGTCAGTGTCTTCCTTGATAGAACAGGGATGAGGATGAAGTGGTAAAGTTCTCAATAAATGTTAACTATCATTGTTATTTAGCCAGTTTGTTTTTTTTTTTTTTGAGAGATTTTCGCTATAGGGCACGTGCGCTCGCCAGACAGACAGAGACATAGAGACAGAAAGCGAGAAATCACCCCCCGAGGGGATGGTCACGCCACAATCCCTTCTCCTCCATTCTCCTCTTGGGATCTTGGGCACGCACGCACACGCACCTGGCGTGAGATTTAGGCCACCGGGTCCGGGACGCGAACCGCGGTCAACTACATGGGAGTCCAGCGACATAGCCATTATGCTAACTGCTGGTTCCCTTAGCCAGTCTCTTAAATAATCTACTGTAATAGTCAAAATATAAAGAATAAGGACACTTGCATCTAATGCTTGTGGGAAAAAATTGATTCAACCTTTTTGGGAGGCATTTGGTAAAATAACAAATACCTTAGAAATGTATCTGTTCATGGCCAGCAGGTGACATGGTGTTTGAGGCACTGGACTCCTACATGGCCAACAACGGTTCGAGTCCTGGTCTAAACCAGCCAGGGACTTGCCTGATCTTCTGGCTTTTTTTTTTTTAATCTTGCTTATTGAAGTGTAATTTTATCATTCCTTATGAATTTCCAGTACAGATACATTTCTTCTTTTTGGAGAGATTTTTGCTATTGGGCACATGCACTTGTTGGAGAGATAGAGAGAGAGAGAAATCATGCCGCGGTTGACTACGTGGGAATCCAGCAACATAACTACTATGCCATCTGCTGGTCCAATTTTTTTTTTTTTTTCTTTTTAAGGTTTTTACCACAGGGCTCATGTGCTCACCAGAGACACAGTGACAGAGAAAGTGAGAAATCACTCTCTAGGGGGATGGCCACACTGCAATTCCTTCTCCATCCTCCTGGGATTTTAGGTACATATATGTGTGTGTCAGAAGTGATTTTCATTTTTTTTTTTTGGTGGTGGGAGGTTTTTGCTATAGGGCATGTGCACTTGCCAGAAAGACAGAGAGAGACAGAGAGACAAAAAATGAGAAATCACCCCAGGGGGGATGGCCACGCTGCAATCCCTTCTCCTCCATTTTCCTCTCGGGACCTTGGGCACACACGCACATGCACCCAGCATGAGTTTAAGCCACCAGGTCCAGGACTTGAACCACGGTCGGCTACATGGGAGTCTAGCGACATAACCATTACGCCAACTGCTGGTCCCTGAAACCTCTATTTTTATAGGTTAAAAAATGGTCAAATATATGGTTCTACCTAATATTCTACTCTATACAACAAAATAGCATTGTGTTTCATTCTATAATATTCTAGACAGTTTTTTAAAAATTATTTCTTTTAGAGAGATTTTTACTATAGGATGCCTGTGAAGGCAGAGAGACAGAGACACACAAAGAGACATAAAGCAAGAAATCACCCCCCAGGGGGTGATGGCCACACTGCAATCCCTTCTTCTTCATTCTCCTCTTGGAATTTTGGGAGGGCACACACACACATGTGGTTGGAGTGTTTTAAGCCACTGGCTCTGGGATTTGAACCACAGTTGACTACATGGGAGTCCAGCAACATAATCATTATACCACCTGCTGGTCCCCTAGTTATTTTAATTGATACACAAAAACATATTTATTGTTGTCAAAATATATTCACAATACAATGTATAAGAAAACAGGATAGGGGTCAGTAGGTGTTGTGGTGGTTAAAGGTGCTGGATTCCCACATGGCTGAGTCCTGGTTTGAGTCCTGGATCTGGCAGCTTGCTTTCTCGCTATCTCTTTCTCTCTCTGTCTTTCTCTGGTCAAATTAAAAAATAATAATAACAAATGGAATTAAATAAATAAATAAACATTTTTTAAAAGTAAAGAAAATAGGATGTGAGGCCAGGCAGTGGCACAGTGGTGGAGTACCTGGACCTACGTGGGAGCCATCCTACATAGGGATGACTTTTGTTTCATTTTCATTCTTTTTCTTCAAGGAGAAAAAAATAGCTATTACTTGCGTAATAAACGTTAAATAAAGCAGGACGAGAAGATAGCCGTGATTTTTTTTGTCTTTTTTCGATATTTAAGTGACAGGCAACAAAAAAAAAATCCCAAAAAACAAACAGACAGACAAAAAACAGCACCAAAGGGACAGCTCCCTCTTTTTCGCAAAGACCTGAGTTAGACTGTCACATCTGCCACCTTAACCTCTGAATCTCAGTGTCCTTGGGTGGAAAAGAGGGATAATAACACGTATACCAAAAAGTTATGGTGAGATATTAATGACAATAAATATCAGAGGAATCTGAAAACTATCAAGTGCCATAAAATCAGAAACCCTTTTCTTCCTTCTTGCCAGAAAGGGAACAATCTCACAGAGGTCTAGAGCTCTAAGAAACCATCACCCACGAAGACCACTCGGGCCTGGGCCCCTTCAGAATTTCTAAGTCTTAAATCCAAAAGAGAGTTGTGCTCTTACCCTTTGAGAGCCCACTCCTGTAACTGTGCTCCATGGCATCCCTGAAGAGGATTCTCTAAGTGATGTCCAGGTAATCCTCTCTTCCATGAAGTCCCCAGCCACATCATTGAGGGTCATCAGTTCCTAAACAGACCTCAGTGTGGATCAATATAGCACCTTTGATATTCTCACCATTGCCTGAAGAAACAAAAGATAGATATTGATATACTGGAAGAAAAATCTGCCGGCTAAAACAGTCCTGAGGAAAATTCTGTCAACCCAGAAGCATTGTTTTTCTTATTCTATTTTTACATAATCCTTCCCTTGGCCAACTTTTCCATCACTAGAAGAGACCTAGGCCTCCCAAACACCTCTACAGAACCCATAGTCTTTTGGCTACATTAATTATTTGAGAAATAAATTGTCCATGATAAACAGGATAAACAAAGGAGGGAGTTTATAGGTATAATTCGATTTCTGAAAAAACTTTCAGTTCTCTCCAGCTACACTTTCCTCAGCAAGCTTAGAAACTGTGGACTCAACTACATTCATGTCAGTTAAGAGAACAACCAATTCCTCTTGACTTATAGATTTGGGACAACATCCTGGGGGGTGATTTCTCGCTTTCTCTCTCTCTGTCTGTCTCTGTTTGTCTGGCAAACACTCGCGCCCTATAGCAAAAAAAAAAAAAAAAAAAAAAAAAAAAAACTTTAAAAAATAGATAACAAATAAATGTTTAAAGAAAATATATATTACATTTTGGGATGATGGCAAGAGCTGATCATTGGGTGGATCAGTCATTCATTTAGTAAATACAGCAACATGTTGCAAGGCATTAGAAGTCACAAAGAAATATGTTTTTCCACTTAACATGTTTCCAATAGAAACAAACACAAGCCAGGCTGTCAAAAGGCCTACAAAGACTCAGGTATAAACAATTCTTCATGTCAGTGGAGTAAGGGCCAGACTGGGATAAGGAGGTTGTATTCTTTCATGTTCTTTGTCCTACCAATCAAAGCACTTGTTTATTCCTAGAACATACACACACACTTTTTATGTAGAAACATTTGTGCATTTATAGATATTGTTATTGGTCACTAACAAAGTACTAAAGTTTTTTTTTTTTTAAAGAATTATTCTACTTAATTTTATTTATTTATTTTAATTTTACCAGAGACAGAGAAAGTGAGAAAGCAAGCCGCTGCCAGGTCCAGGATCCAAACCATGGCTGGCCATGTGAGAGTCCAGCACCCCTAGCCACCATGCCACCTGCTGGCCCCAAAGTACTGAGTTTTTAAGCACCTAAAAATTGTAGGTCTTTCAATTCTCTGTTTCAAATCCTTAACAAACAAGCAAAAATGTCATTAGGAAGTAAAAAGTGTTTGGAGTATAAATTTTATTTCTACATTTATTCAAAACACAAATGCAGGTCCACTTGTAGGTAGGATGTGAGTGGGAGAGCATTCTCAGCCATGATTACAGAACCCTGTTTCCCACCCAGTCGCCTTCCTCCTGTACAGGTGACCCCCAAAGGCTCCATAGCGCTGAAGGGCTAGGAATACGTGCCATTGTGAGACGCTCCAGTTTGTCCCCTGGGTTTATTAATAGGAACATGACCACACGGGTAGGGCCGACACTCGTTCTTCCTTGCCGTGCTGCAGGCCCTAGTGGGGTGCAGGGGTCAGACGGTCACAAAGATAAGCTGAAACCCGGGGTTACCACCGAGGAGCAAGAGACTAAGAGGATGAGCCATTCGACGACGGTCTAGAAACCTCGGCCACTTCTCCCCACACCTCAGAGAGATCCGCGTGCTCCGAAAGGCGACCGCGGGGACCTGGCAGAGACGACGTCGGGTGACAAGGCGACCCCCCTCTACACCCTCTCCACAGCAGTGCCCAAGCTGCCGCCCCAGTCTTCCTTCCAGAATCACTCACCGCCCCAGGGCCCAGCCGGGGATGGAGTCGGAAGGGAGTCCTCCACCGCCGAGCCGCACCCAGCCCGCTACGCCGAGCCGGTCCCTCCCAAAACCCGACTGGGATTAGTGACAGGACAGTGGGGCACAGGTGGTGCTCTGGGTTCCACAGCCAGCCGCCGGAAAACACCGCCCCTGTCCGCTTGCCACTGGCTTTTCAGTTTCCATGACGAGAAGTCCTCCCTAACCATAGGCTAACTCGGATGTCAACCACTACAGAGCCTTCTGGGAAATGTAGTCCAGACTAAGATTTACAAGGACCAGGAATCTGGGGACGCCCAGTTTCGAGCGGTGACAAGTGTTACATGCAATACCCGAAATACCAGACTGTGGGAACGGCCCCTCGGAGCTGAGATCAGGATCCAAATGCTGTACCCCTGAGTGGGCTCTGCCTCCCGGCCTCACCCAGGAACCGCGGAGCAACCTGGTACCCCTGCCGGCGACGTCTCCCACGCTCTGTCCTCTCACCCCTCCGGGGCTCAGAGCAGCTCAGCCAGCCTGCCAGGGGATCCTTGTCTGCCTGGTCCCCAGCCTCATCTGGGCAGGTCTGAACCTGCTGGGCGTCTGCCACCGACTCGGGCATAAAAACAAACCAACCAACAGTAAGTCTTAGTAGAAAACATACTTTAAAAAAAAAAAAAAAGAGAGAGAGAGAGAGAGAAAAGAAAACAGACTTTCTACTTCCTTCTATCAGCATCGGCCTCTCAGACATACTCCTTGCTTTTTTTCTTTCAGTCTTTTAGGACTTGGTACCATTTCTTTTTAAAAAATTATTTAAATTTTATTCATTATTATTTTAATTTGACCAGAGAAAGAGAGAGAGAAAGCAAACCACCAGATCCCAGACTCAAAACGCGGCCTAGGGAACCAGCAATTGGCGTAATGGCTATGTCGCTGGATTCCCACGTAGTCGACCGCGGTTCGTGTCCCGGACCCGGTGGCTTAAAACTCAGGCCGGGCGCGTGTGCGTGCGTGCCCAAGATCCCCAGAGGAGAATGGAGGAGAAGGGATTGTGGCGTGACCATCCCCCCTGGGGGGTGATTTCTCGCTTTCTGTCTCTATGTCTCTGTCTGTCTGGCGAGCGCACGCGCCCTACAGTGAAAATCTCTCCCCCCACCCAAAAAAAAAAACACGGTCTGCCATGTGGGAGTCTAATGCCTTAACCACCAGTCTACCTGCTGGCCCCTCATACACCTCTTAATAGTCAGAGGAGGAGGCAAGGGAGTCAAGTATGTTGGGACATGTGAAACTGGGTCAACACTGGGGAGACTCCTAGGACTTCAGTAATCACTAGGGTGGACTCCTACCTAAAAAATAATAGAGGCCTTTTCTTACATGGAGGAAAACACTCCTGTTTACCCTGTGTGTTGACTAGGCACAATTTTTTTGAAAAAATTTTGTGATGGGCTGTAAAAGGCTTAGAATCACCAGCTAAGAGGCTCACATAGAAGACCCCTTTGGCTCCCCAAAAACACAAATAAGGTGCATCTTTCAAAAGATTCATGGGGAGGTGCCAGCAGATGGCTCTGTGGTTAAAGTGCTGGACTCCCGCGTTGTTAAGGCGACTTTGAGTCCAGACCTGGGGACTTGCTTTCTCACCCTGTCTTTCTGGTGAGCACATGCACCCTGCAGCAAATGAAAATAATAATTATAATAAATAAATAACAAATTTAAAATATTCATTGGGAACTTTCTATATCCGAGATCATTCTGAGCATTGTGGTTACCCATACAAATCATACCGTATAGACAGCAGCATCTTAGTTTTCTGTCCTCCAGCTGACCTGCTCTACTGGCTCCTCCCCTTTCCACTGGTAGGGCAGCTCATCTCACCAGATCTCTGCATCAACCTCTACTCATTGCATCCCTTACTGCCTCTTCAAGCCTAGTAGCCTGTTCTCTTTGATGCCTACCTAGGCTGACTCTGCAGTTGAGCTCAGGCTCTTTGGGAGACCCTCAGCCACACAGTGCTCCTTTGGGGGCTTCTTGACTATTGACTTCAGCTACTCCTTACCCTTATTGGGAGCACTTAGAGACTTCTGGAACCTTTCATGCTACACAGGATCAAAGGAGTCTTGGGTACTTCCTGTGACCTTCCTTCTGCTCAGTTCAGCTATGGTGGCCATTTTCCTCCACTGCAACAACCTCATGTTGACTCAGGGATACTTTAGGAGTCCATTTCCTTCAACAGCTTAAAAAAAGGGACTACAGGGAACTAGCAGTTAGCATAATGGCTATGTCGCTGGACTCCCACGTAGTCGACCACGGTTCGCGTCCTGGACCCGGTGGCTTAAAGCTCACGCCAGGGATGTGCGTGTGTGCTCAAGATCCCGAGAGAAGAATGGAGGAGAAGGGATTGTGGCGTGACCATCCCCCCCTGGGGGGTGATTTCTCGCTTTCTGTCTCTATGTCTCTCTCTGTCTGTCTGGCGAGCGCACGCGCCCTATAGCGAAAATCTCTCCAAAAAAAAAAAAGAGAGACCACTTCCTCTTTGGTCTCTCTGAGGTTCCTATCATTACCCTGCCCTTCCCTTTCCATTGAAAAGTTTCTTAACCTTCCTTTGACAGTGAAAGGCTGTTAAGTGTGACTATGAGGAACTATCCTTGGCTGTATGTTGAATAAACCTGACTACCGAGTTTAGCCAAATCAGGGATTACCTTTTTCATGTATCAAGAAGTCTAAAGGGAATGAAAAAGGTCTAGAGGTAGGCAACGCAGGGCTGGTCTACTAATCAAAGGATGACATCAGGGACCTGTATGTCCTGTTTCCTTGCCCTGCCAACCTTTGTGTGTCTCTTGTCCTCATAGACACCTCCAGTCATTATGGCTGCATTCCTGAATAGACTATGAGCTGCCGTTAAATACCGTTATCACTGAAATTATGTCATACAGCGTGGAACAAGGAGATGTAAACAAGCGGCAAAACAATAATGTGAAATATGATCCTATCTGTGTGTGGTAAATACTGGCTATTTGTCTCCCAGCACACTGCCCTTCTAGGGAAAATTAACACCTGATCTTTTTTTCTTGGATTTTGCCAGAGGGCAAGTATACTCAGTGAAACAGAGAGAAACTAAAAAAACACTCCTTATGGGACATGGTCACACTGTAATCCCTTCTCTTCAATCTTAGGACTCTGAGTGCCTATACTTTTCTTGCCTAAGTTACAGTAATTTGAATGGTAAAGTTCAGATGTCAGCAATTTTTAAATTCCTCACACATACACTATATCGGTGTTTTGTTGTTGTTGTTGTTTTAACGAATTCTTTTCTTGGGACCAGCAGTTGTCTTTTTTTTAAAGAATTCTTTTCTTGGGACCAGCAGTTGTTGTAATGGCTATGTCGCTGGACCCCCACATGGTCGACCACGGTTCGAGGCTTGGACCTGGTGGCTCAAACTCACACTGGGTGCGTGTGCATGCATGCCCAAGATCCTGAGAGGAGAATGGAGGAGAAGGGATTGCAGCGTGGCCATCCTCCTTGGGGGGTGATTTCTCACCTTCTTGTCTCTCTGTCTCTCTCTGTCTTTCTGGTAAATGCACGCGCCCTATAGCAAACACCTCTCAAAAAAATAATAATAATTCCTTTCTTATTACTGCTATAGGGAGTGTGCACTTGCCAGAGAGACAGAGAGCTAGAAAGTGAGAAATCACTCCCTGGGGAGCAGGTGGCCACAAGGCAATCTCTTCTCCTCCATTCTCCACTCAGGATTGCACTGGGCTCCCACATGGCTGACCGCAGTTAGAGTCCCGGACCTGGCAGCTTGCTTTCTTACTTTCTCTCTCTGTGTGTGCCTCTGGTAAAATTAAAATGAAAAAACAAATAAAGTTAAATAAAATAATTCTTTTTTTTTTTTTTTGGAGAGGTTTTTGCTATAGGGTGTGTGCGTGCGCTCGCCAGAAAGAGAGAGATGGATCAACGGAAAAGAACAGATAGTGGTGTGACCATGCACCTTTCTCCTTTCCCTCTCTCTGACTCTCTGGCAAGTGCATGACCCCTCTAGCAAAGGGTGCCATTAGGGCACATGTGCTCACAGGACAATGACAAAGGGAAAGTAAGAAATCATCCCGAAGGGGGTATGGCCATGCTGTTCACCCACTTCCTCCATTCTCCCCTCAGGACTTTGGGTACAAACACACATGCCTGGCAGGTTTTCCAAGCAACTAGGTCTCATACTTGAACCTCAGATTTGGTCATGTGGGATCCAGCACCTTAACTACCACACCACCTGCTGGTCCAATGGGCAACTTTTACCCTTGCTAATATTTTTTTAAACAGCATCTTATTGGGGCCAGCAGATGACATAGTGGTTACATCACTGGCCTCCCACATGGCCAACCACAGTTTGAGTCCCAGACCCAGTAGCTAGAAACTCACGCTGGGTGCGTGTGCACGTGTGCCCAGGATCCCAGGAGGAGAATGGAGAAGAAGAGATTGCCTGTCTTTCCTGGGGGTGATTTTTCACTTTCCCTCTCACTGTCTCTGTCTCTGTCTCTCCCTCTCTCTCGCAGACGTGTCCTAAGGCAAAAACCTCTTTTAAAAATAGAATATTATTTAAAAGTCTTTTAAGCTGAACTACTTACAGGATAATTAACCAACTCAGCACCTTTTAGGTAAAAATTCAAAACAAAGCATCTAATAGTTAGGACTTACTGGATTGTGGTGTGGTCATCCCCTCTGGGGGATTTCTCACTTTCTTGCTCTCTCTGTCTTTCTCTCTTTCCATCTTCCACAAGTGCCTACGCCCTATAGCAAGAGCTTCTCTTTTAAAAAAGATAGGAGAGCTCTCACACCCCCCTGATGATTACCCCTCTTTATAGATAATGAGGGTCAGTATGCCCTCAAATTAAGACATACACCTCTTCACAGATAGTCAGCTGTACTCACATCACTCATATCGAGGGCCTGAGCAGATTTCCAGACGGCCTCCCTACCACCTCCTGCCAAGATCTGGGGACCAACTGCATTTCCTGTTTTGGAGTCCCACAGCCCCTATGAGAGACTCTTCTGTCTACTGTGAACAGCATGAGGGAGCCTTTGTGACTTCCACACACGAATTTTTGAAGACAGAAATTCTCTATTTAAAGATGCATGTTGAAGTCAC